TAATTCATCACTGGGGTGGCAGAGTCAGAGAAATCCTTGGGGTTCCTTAGCCAGCCAGCCTAGGCACCCCTGAAAGCCTTTATCTAAAATTTTTTAAAAAATGGTGACCAGCTGACCTCTGGCCTCCACATGCATGCATGTATATGTACATATGCATCCCCATATATATACCCACATGCATGCAAATAAATCTATACAGATAAATAAATTCATGTGAACAATCAAAGTGTGTGGACTGTGAAAATGCTAGTGAAGTGACCGCTGAGTGTCATAAACTGAGCCCAGCACCGCTGTTAAAACATTCAAGTGTAGCCAGGTGGTGGTACATGCAACTTTAATCCCAGCACTTGGGAGGCAGAGGCAGGCGGATCTCTGTGAGCTCGAGGCCAGCCTGGTCCACAAGAGCTAGTTCCAGGACAGGCTCCAAAGCTACAGAGAAACCCTGTCTCAAAAAACAGAACAAACAAACAAACCTGCAAGTGTATTTGCACAGCTGGGACTCTACTGCAGCTGGCATGGAGAAATCAGTCTAGACAGCTCAGTGTAGAGGACCTAAAGATGACACCCGACATCACCCCGTGGCCTCCACCTTCATGCCTGCACATATGTAGACACACATACACTGCGTGCACACGCATGCACACAAATCAAAACATTAATAAACCTGTGGCTCCAACATTCGCTGTCTCAACTCGTTCATCCATTCAGTAGGGATCTGATGAGCAACTTCTCCATGGCACACATCCTGAATACTTAACAGGATACACAGAAGGGCAGGACAGGTGGCTCGGTGGTGAAGAGCACTGGCTGCTCTTCCAGAGGATCCGGGTTCAGTTCCCAGCACCCACATAGCAGCTCACAACCATCTGTAAATCCAGTTCCAGGGAATCCAGTGCCTCCTCTGCAACAAGTCAGGCACAGGAGTACTGCACACACCTACACACAGACAAAATACCCATATATACAAAATAAAGTTCAATGTCGAAGTTATTAAAAGAATATAGAAGAAGTATGGAAGAAACAAGTTCTGTTCTCCAAGGCCCATGACCTCAGAACAATAATGAAAGAGACAGTCCCACAGCCGTGTGACTGTAATGACAGAGACCGTCCCACAGCCGTGTGACCGTAATGACAGAGACCATCCCATAGCCGTGTGACTGTAATGACGGAGACCGTCCCACAGCCATGTGACTGTAATGAAAGAGACCGTCCCACAGCGGTGTGACTGTAATGACGGAGACCGTCCCACAGCGGTGTGACTGTAAGGATGGAGACCATACCACAGCGGTGTGACTGTAAGGATGGAGATTGTCCCAAGGCAGTCTGATAGAAAAATGGAAGAAAAGGTTAAGGGGGGCCTCTGGCAATTTCACCAAGTATAATTCTACAGGGTGCCTAGTGGTGGGAAACACTGGCAGCAGGGAAGGGTGTTCCCGCAGAATGGAGAGTGTGTGCAAAGATATAAAACGTGAAAGGACTCCAGATACTGCATGCAGCTGGGAATGTCTACAGGGTGGTGCTGGTGGGGTAATGACAAGAGACGAGGTGGCAAAAGCTACCAGGCCACCTTAGGCTAGATCATGACGATCTTCGACAATGAACTTGATTATTTTTTTTTTGTAAAAATTAATTGGGAGCCATTAAAGAATGCTGTGTTAGGTATAAAACAGTTCCATTTGCACTTTAAAAATACCTTTCTGAAATGCAAATAAAAACTGCTTTGAGACTCAGCCTCTCCCCAGCCAGAAGGGCTATCCTGAAGAAAACCAATCACTGGCACTACTTCAGGGGAGGGGCTGGGAGCAGCGTGCACTTCTTCACTCCAGGCTGGAGTGTAAACTGGTGCAGCACTATGGAAATCAGCCTGAAGGTTTCTCCAAAAGCTAGAAGTAGGACTCCTGTGTAACCCAACTACAGCACTCCTGGGCATATACCCAAAAAACTCAAAGGTCTACAACAGAGGCATTTACACATCCATGTTTGCTGCTGCACCGTTCATAATAGGTAGGAACTAGACCAGCCTAGACATCTGTCAACGGGCAAAGGAAATGTGTTGTACATCCACAATGAAATCTGACTCCATCTTAAAGAAAATGAAATCATGACATTTGCAGGAAAATGGATGCAACCGCAAATTATCCAGCGAAGCTAAGAAACCCAGACTCAGACAAGCGCTACATTTTCTCTCATCTACAGATCTGAGATTTAAATGTTTATACACAGAAATGTATTTTGGTGGGAATGGGGGTGTGGGACATGAAACCACAAAGAGGACCGTGAGAAAGGGAAAAGAAGTCGGAGGGTGGGGGCACCTAGTGCACCGAACACACGTGCCAGGAAAGCAGAAGGGGAAAGGAAAGGGGCAGCAGGAGAAGAGGGGGAGGGAGTGGACTGGGGACAAAGTATCAGCCAAAAAGAAAAGAGGTGTGAGATCCATCCTGTGTTAGTGAAAACTATCCTCTGTCAAGGTTTCTAAAGAAACTCTCCCTCAGGGAACCTGTCGCAGTCAAAGTCTGCCCGTTGTAGGCTCACGTCTCAAAATGTGTCTGAGGAGTCACCCAAACCACATCCTTGCTGTAGAATGAAAACTCACTTACAGGGGGTGCAATAATGGATCCATTTGTTAAAGAAAACAAAACCTTCTTCCCTGAAACCCAGTCTTCCCGGCCCCACTGCCATCTGCCACTTTGCTCGTATCTCTGACCCCCAGGATGGTCAAGGTGGTCCCAGAGCTGGTCCTCCTCAATGGCTAAAGACATCCGCAAACATCTAGTGCCGAGGGAATCTGCTCTGTGGTCACGAGAAACATTCTAACTGGCCCCGTACATCTTCTCTCATAGCGATTAGAAGCTTAACCCTTTTTTAAGCCAGAGCTTAATTCAGGGTGTCTAATACTATTTAAATTACAACTCTCAAATCTTAAACAGCCTACAGCCCAAATGCCACTACTTTACATCTGTGCGTCGCATGAGCATGACCGTGACAGAAGGGCCAGGCTGCAACCTTGGCGGTATGTCTGTGCTGGATGCTCTGTGCTCTCAATCCTCTAGCAAATAAACAGGTCACGTTTCCTACTCAGTGAGCTCAAACAAATCGGTAGGACTACATCGTGTCCACAGAGGATCCCAATCTTGTGATCACCATGCTGACTCCTTCCGATGACCTCTGCAAGCCAGCCTTATAGACAAGCCAGCTGTATATTCACCAGCCCAGACAGAGCAAGCCATTGGCTTATGATTCCTGAAATAAATTCTCTAAGATAAGGAGATTTGGTGGATTAAAACGTTGTGGGCAGAGTCGATCACCATGTAGCGACAGCTTAAGGCAATTTTCTTAGCCAGGAACCCATAAAATGTCACTTGTTTCTGAAAGGGCAAAAAGTTACAGCAAAAGACAGTGGTGTCTGGGAGAATCCCAGACCACGTGTGTGCTGAAAATCAATTCCATTCCATACAAAAATTCAAATGCATGCAGTGCCATTAACACTAACGGGCAGTGTTTCCAGATTCCCACACATTCATTTCAACCCTCAGGCAGCCTGCACCCTTAGCCTCGTCTCACAAAAGGGCACGAGGGAGGCAAATATACTCACTCATGCTCACTCACCCTTGTTGACGGGAGACCCTACACTTTCTGCATTCCCAGACCCTAATGTGGACTGGCCCTGGGCAGAGAGCTTGAGATAGAACATAGAAATGGGAAGGAATGCCAGTGCATGCCTGGGCCAAGGGCATGCATGGGTCCCCAGAGAGAATGAAGAGCTGGCTTAGGCTGAGCCTTCACTGAAGAGACCTAAACAGAAGCCCCGCCCTGCCCGTGGATGGGCGTGCTCAGGTGGGTCTCACAGTAACTCTTGCTTAGATCCCAGAAGGAGCCAGTGGCTGGTCTGAGTGGTCTTGTCTGTTCACAGGCCTGGCGCTCAGACTTTCTTCCTCTCCTGTTGGTCACCATGTATGTCTTTATTGAAGGAGGCTTTTTCCGTGAAGAAGAAAGAGGAACTCTGAAATTGTCTCATAACCCATCACTAGAGGAAAATATTGAATACAAGTCTTACCACAATGTTGCTTCTATAGTTTTCAGAACTAGCATTCTTTAGATGGTCTTGATCAATCCAGTATCTGAGAAACCCAAAGTACATCTTGTTCAAGGCGAGCAAGGTGTGTTGAATTTTATGATGATTTAAAATCACTTCTAAATAGCCTATTAAAGGGAGGCCCTTGTGTCAGGTTTCATGGGCTCTACAGTGACAGCCTTGCCTAAGCACTGTAGCCTGTGGCTGAGCTCATGCCTGGACCACGGTGAGTCCCCAGGAGTAAAGCCCTCCAGAAGTCGTGAGGTATGAAGAAAAGGCACAAGGCTTTCCTTGTGCTCATTCCAGATGTGTTCACTGAGAGCCACAGCCTGGGAGAAGCAAGCGGGGACTCTATAGAGATGCCATCTGCTGTGTGATATTCCAGATTATAAACTTAACCCTTAATTTTTACATCCCCAGCTGCTGAACCCTTTCCCGTTCTGAGTTAGGAGGGAAGTCACATTGACAGAATCCAAGGGTGTGCCTGTTAAGCATCGTGGCGACTCCAGCATCGCAACCCATGAATTCTTTAGAACAGGTCATTTCTAGCTGCATTTGGAAGTAAGCACCACTTGCATGCGTAGTGACTGTTGTCAGACATGATATCACAGTCGCCCAGAGCAAGCCAGCTTTTTCTAAAAGTCTACTCCATTTACAAATAATTTCTTAAAAAGAAAGAACCAAAAATGAGAAGCAGACTCCTCCAGTGGACAAAGGTTTCTTTTTCAGAACACGGTTAAAATACAAGGAAAGTATGAGGCACTATTTTCCACTGAAAGAACCAAAAGCAGCTTGGGGCAAATACAAGAGAGATTCCGTCTTAAGCAAGGAAAGTGTATCTGAGATGTCCTCGCTTCGCTAGCTGTCAACCTGAAACAGTCTAGCTTTTTAATATGCGTTTAACAAACGCAACACAGCTCCATTGAGGTCGATTTGAATTCACAAAATATTTTTTATTGTAAGAAAGCATACAAGCAGCAGAGCTGAGAAAACATTCGAAATAGAGAATGACACAGACCCTAGGCAGGAGCAGCTGACAGCAAGCTCTTAGCTTCTCATCAGTTCCTTCCACTTGGAACCAACTGCTTAGCTAGAACACCTTGTAAACATTTCAAAAGGGAAACTGTTGCATGCCCCACATGAATTCGCATCCCCACATGAGGGGACTTGATGGTACTTTTTGCAGTCCAGGCTGTGACATGGAAACTAGATTCAAATGCACAGAGGGAAAAAAATAGCGTCTGTGACTAGGGATGCTGATGGCTCTGGGGTGCTCAAGACACAGGGGAAAGGCCCCTTCTGGTCCTCCCACCAGCAGAAGCATCTTACGTGATGATGGGGCACCATTCATTAGCTATTTTTCAACCAAAGTTGAAGAGCTTTTTTGAAAAGGGGATACTAAATTCAGATTAAAGCTCTACAAAAGTAGCCCCTTGAGCCGCCGGCTTGGTTAGACACGAGCAGCCGAAGAACCAGTGAGGAACGCTTCTCAGTGGAGGGGCGGCTGTGACCCATGAATTTACAGCTCATGCCCGCTGCAGATCTTAATCCTGGACAGCCATTTGTTTGTTTCAGAAAGCTATTTCAAGCATGAAATGAGAAACGACAGGGAGGGCCAATTATTTTACATAAATACAAAGTGGCATAGGCTCTTCCTCACCATCCAAAAACAGAAATGGAAAGGTGTGTTCTTCTTGAGCTGGCTTTTACAGAGATATTTACAGAAGTGCAAATTCACCCCGGGAAAGCCTCTGCCTTTTAAGACACTCAGTACACAATAGAAGTTTCTTTTAAAAAAAAAATCTTTTCAAAATATTTTTAGGGTAGAAAGCATAGGTGGCATTAGTCACGTCTCATCTTGTATGTATTCATGTCCGTGTTGAGTTAAGCAGCCACCACATCAGTCTTTGCTGTGTTTCTAGAAGCAATTCACGACTCAGAATCTCGGAGTCTGTGTCTTTGTTTCACGGGCTCATAAAGTGCTAGTACAATGGACTGTTCAGTCTCGGAACACACTGGTTTGTTCTATTAAATATGATAAATATAGATTCACTATGATAAATTTAAAATACCCATATAATGCAATAAATAAATAATAAATAAATAATAAAACCATTACCAACAGAACATCTGTCAATCCTGAAAAAGAGAAACTCCACTCTTGCTGTAAGGCTCGATTAGTATTGTAGAAATCATTAACGAAGGCATGCACCTACCTTTACAATCTGAAAACTGTTCGGACAGCGTTAGCACCTGTTTGGACACAGCAAACTCAACTCTCTCACTTCCTTCCTAGGAAAGTTTTGATTTCTAAGTGAAGCTGTTTACTGCTCACTCTTGACTCTATCTTTTTTTTTGTAACATCCTAAAGACAATAAGTTTCAAAAATGATTTCAGAGCCAAAGTCACTTCCCCTATGACTCTTGGCGTGTCCCTAGAAAACACACTGGAAGTGATGCATTTGGGAAGCTTTGCAATTGTTCAGAAGCAGCAGAGGGATGTCGTGGTGGCTCACAGTCCCACTGGACCGTAACTTCTTAAGAGCAAGCTCGAGGGAAATCCTAGCTTCAGAGATGAGGACCCAAAATTCAGGTCGGGTGCTGTCCACTGTGTGTGACAGGTTGGATCTTCTCTAGAGAGACATCGGTGTCATAATCCAATATGACCGATAAGGCTGGGGACAGTTTCTCCAGCGGTTTAGTTATTCCGCCTGCATCCTCCTTTTTCAGATCCTCGGAGGAACCCACGGCATGAGGGATCAGGTAAACCAGATTGCAGTCCTTGGAGATGGAGCCTCGAGGCTCGTGGTGGCTGGAAAACATCACAGCCCCATTGTTGTTGATGCTAACTGTCTCTATGGCATTATTTGTTGTAGGACAGAGTCTATAGCATCCTAAGAGGGTTGAGAATGCCTTTTGGAAATCAGCATTAAAGGCATAAATAATGGGGTTCAAGGAAGAATTTGCCCATCCAAACCACACAAACACATCAAAGGTGATGGAATCAATGCAAAATGGCTGAGTCTCCTCAGAGCCACAGAAGGGGACCATGCAGTTCGAGATGAAGAAGGGGAGCCAGCAGCACACGAACACCCCCATGATCACCGACAGGGTCTTCAGCACTTTAGTCTCTCTCTTGAAGGACATCTTAAAGGAACTTTCTGATTGAGAACATTCCACGGGGTTTCCATTACCCGTGGTGGTCTGGCAATTCTTGGCATGGACCGCCGCCCTCTCCAAGGCTGAGATGCGCCGGATTTGTTTCTGGGCAATCCTGTAGATACTGGTGTAGGTGACGATCATAATGGCCACGGGGATGTAAAAGCTTATGAGGGAGGATGAAATGGCATACGTCCTGCTCAACCTGGTATCACAGTTGGCGTCCTCGGTGTCTTCCGGGAAAGTGGCATTGTCATCCAAGGGCCACGTGGGCTTTGCCTTGTGCCAGCTTAACTGCACTGGGATGAAGGAGATGAGCACAGACAGGGTCCAGGCTACGCTGATCAGGATGAAGGCTGCCTTGGGGGTCATCTTCCTCTCATACTGGAAAGGGCTGGAAATGGCCCAGTACCTGTCCACGCTGATCACACAGAGGTTAAGGATGGACGCGGTGGAGCACATGATGTCAAAGGCTACCCAAATGTTGCAGAAGGACCCAAAGGGCCAAAAGCCAGCAATTTCAGCCACGGCTTTCCAGGGCATGACCAAGACAGCCACCAAGAGATCGGACACAGCTAGAGAGATGACAAAGAAGTTGGTCACCTTGGACCGCAGGTGTCGAAACCTGATGACAGCCGCACAGACCAGGGTATTCCCCAGGAGAGTGGACAGGATGAGCAGAGACAGGAAACAGGCCGTAAGGATGCGAAAGGAGAAATCCCTCTCCACGGCCAGCCCGGCTCCATCCATGGTAGAAGTGTTCAGAGCCATCTTCCAGACAGAAAGCACCTCTGGGTGACTTGGCGCTTGTGTTCTTGAGCAGGCTTAGCCAAACTTCCCCTGGTCACTCACCAGGCAGCAGCCCCTTGCCCAGCCCCAATTACTGCCCAGACTAGAGGACAGAGATGTTCTATCAGGAGTTTCCCTGTAGCAACCCAAGCCATGCCGGGAAAAGGACCCTCTTGCTTTCCATCTGTCTTCTGGGTTCCGTGCTCCAGGTCGCTCTCCCTGGCACTGGCTGACCCCTAGATTCCCCAGGGATAGCGCCGGCTTTTCAGCATATTCTAAGCCTTTAACTCAAGAATCTGCGGCCTCTTCCTGGTCAATTATAGTCACTTTTCAGGGTTGCTGTCTCTTCCTCCGAGACACAGCCTAAAATACATGTATTTCTCCCCCAAGTCCCTGGAGCCCCATGTATCACGATGCCCTAAAAAGCAAAGGAAAATACAAAGTCGTTCATCAAGATGATATACAGCTCGCCTGTTTAGCAACGTTAAATACCAGCTCATCAACTCCTGGGCAAGTCTGTCAAGATCACCTACCTTGCTTTGGGGTCGCCTCTCCCAAAACCCCTGGAGCTTCCACAGTGAGTCCAGGCGGCCTAGCAAGTGTTCCCCTCCTGATGTACAAAAAAATCTCTGGGCTGGATTTGGATAAGGAATCCCAGACCAGGTACGCAGGAAGCTGCGCCCCCCTGCTACCTTGGCCACCTACAGATCGCTGCCCCTGGGGCTCTCAGAGAGGCACCACCAGGGCTGGGGCAGCTTTCTGTTCTGTCTGAGGGAACCCAGTGCCTGGTTCCCTTCGGCTCCTAGGTCTTAGAGCAGGACGCCCCCCCCCCAGCCTCCCCGTGGCGCTCCCCGTCAGCAGCGGCAAGAGCCGCAGGTAGGCGAGGGCACGGGCCACCCTGCCTCCGCATCCCCTCCTGGCCCTGGGGATGGGCTCAGCTTGACAGGCAGAGTGGCGGGCTACTGCCACATGTGGTTCCCTGATGGCGCAGCTGGAGCAGAGCTGTGGGGCGCCTACGTGATCGCTTTGCTCCCTCTGGCTACCTCGCACACCCTGCGGACCCCGGGTCAAGACAGAACCCAAGGGACAAATCCTGACGTTCAAATCTTTAGTAAGCCGAACTTGGGTCCTGCACTCAGCGCCTCTTCAGGTCAACCCCAAGTTCTACCCAAAGTTCGGGGTTAAAGCGGACCCTGCCCACACCCACGCGTCGCAAGCCCTGGGCAGCTACCCGCTTCGCGTCACTGCGCTGTCTCCGAGTGCCCCGCAACTGAGGTACGAGGAGCCCTGGGACAAGGGAGCTTACCGCTCCGGGAGGCCACGCTCCGCGACTCTGCCAACCCTGCGCCAGCTCCCGGGCCGCTCGTTGCGTGCTCCGCCCGCCGAGGCGCTTCTACGGTCAACTCACGAGTGCAGCCCGTGACCCGCGCCCCGCAAGCACCCCAAACGCGGTGCCACATGCTCTGCGGGAATCTGGCGCCCTCTGCCGGCGCCTATGGTTTCCTGCACCCCGCCTGCGCCCTAACTGGAGCAGATCACAGAGACAGAGATCAGCCTATGTAATCCCAAGATTCAGGGCTTAGACACTGCTTTCTCCCGTCCCCGATTGCCAGAATCTGAAAGATTAGAGGCATGGTCTTCCACATTCTGAGCTCCTTCACTTAAAATACCACTAAAACTTACAAGAGTAGGAAGTCCCTTCGGCTAGCATGTTATTCATTGAGCCAGTATTTCGCCGTTGTGCCCACTGTGTGCTAGGGCTGGAGCAGTAGTGAGAACGTGTCAGCTTACTCTGCAAGTGAACAGAGACCTGGCATAAACTCAAAAGCCTCTGTGCGCCCCAAACACATGCACCCACACACGCACGCATGCACGCACGCACACGTGCACACACACCTTATGACATGAAACGTCTGGCAAAACTCCTTCCTCACAGGCCTGCACATCGCTAGTTCAACTGTGGAAAACGATGCTCAGAAATGTGTGGGGCTTGTTCAAAGTTAACACATCAGCTAGAGAGCATAGTGACCTACCTGCCTGACCGCCGCTTGCTTGTTCTTCAACACGATCACGCCTAGTATGTAATCCATAATCTGAACAATTACCACAGGGGTAAAGTGGAGACGGGAATGCCTGGCCCCAGGAAATGTGTCAGTGCATAGACAGGACATCAGAGTGTCTTCCTATGTCTATGAAAAAAGATTAACCATGGAACCCGGAAGTCACTCAGCCTGGATTCTCATCCTTACTGATGAGGGCTGCTCTAAGTAACGGGATGCTCATTCCAGAAGGCTTGGGGCACTAGATACAGACCTAGACAAAAATTACATGGGCAGAAATCCTTCTGAGATCATTTTTAAAAAAGAATAGTCTTGTCTCCATGAGAACCACACACCACAGTGAATGCCAACATTTTCTCTAAATAACCTAAATAGCAATCCTAATTAGCCAGCAGAAACCTGATCTTGGCTTTAGGTGCGGTACCCATATGATTGACACAGATGCTCCTCCACTTGGGCTCATAGCTCTGCCCTCCCACCAATATCCTTGCTGTCACACACCAAGTTCCATGGGCTAGCCATTAGATATATGTCCCAAGAACCCCTTTAGAGTTGCGGTTCTCAACCTGTCGGTCGTGATTCCCACAGGGGTCACATATCAGATCTCCTGCATGTCAGATATTTATATTACAATTTATATCAGTAGCAAAATGAGTTATGAAGTAGCAACAAAATAATTTTATGGTTGAGGGTCACCGAACATAAGAAACTGTATTAAAGGGCCACGGTGTCAGGACGATTGAGAGCCATTTGACTTAGAGTCTTAAGCCAACACAGTGCAGCATCCCTGGGTTTCAGCCCCGCGACAGTCACTCTCTAAGCAATGGGAAATCCCCTATACTTTCTTCCCTTCTTATCAGTACACACAAATTGAGGGAGGTTTCTCACCCAAGACGGCCGGGTGAGTCTGAAACTGTAACTCCTCACACTCTGCCTACCCTGCCACCATCTGGAATAAGCAAGATAGGGGAATCAGCACCTTTGACAGCACGGGAAGCTTTGGGGTCCTCTAGGGCAGGATTGGGGAGCACGCTGGAAGAGGAAGAACTCCTTAAGGAGGGAAAGTCCTCCTCCAGCTAGCACTTGAGGAAGAGATGGCAATACAGTGACGCCCTGGGTGGGGGATTCACAGTGACACTCCTTTGGAGGGGAGGCTCTACAGTAACATTCATCAGAGTACAGCAACAGAAGCTGGAGGTGACGATGGGGGCAATCTGAGGGGTAAACTTCCCTTTAGGACTGCCTTTGAGAGGAGCTCCCCAGCCAGCAACCCTGGAAATGATCACTGCTCTTTTAAATTAAAGGTAGAATGACAACATAACAAGACTGTCTCAGGGGGCATCGCATGGCCTGCAACCCCAGTCCCCGGCAAAAGCATTCACGTAAACTAGGAAGAAAGTCTGGTCGTGGTGCACTGGGCAACCATGGCTTCTTTCAACACTGGCAGCTGCTCAGAGAGATCTCTGTTCTAAAAGGTCTCTGAGTTATTAAAACCAGCCCAAACCTGTGTCGGGTGTCACTTTGCTCATGATAATGCCCTACCACAAGAAAATGTCAGCCATTTTCCATGTCAAAGCATCAAACTGTCTTCTTTACTGTATCAGAGCCAGCGAATAGAAGATGCTTGGGAACAGCAAAGAAGGAAGGGAAGAAGCAATGTGCTCCTGAAGGGGTGACTTGTTCCTCGTCTCAGAAAACAAGAGTGTTGGATTATTCCTCTATGGGTCTATAACTCAGAAACAGAAACCCAGGACCCTTCCCTGCCGGCTTAGCTCGCTGGCGTGTGAATGCAATCACAGAACAGGGAAGAAGAAAGGGTAGCTTTAATCTCAGGGTTTCACCGGGCAAGGTGCGATTGTCAGAGTATCCCAGAGTTTGCCTAAAGATTTGGAGTGTTTTGTTTTGTTTTGTTTTGTTTTGTTCCCCGCCCGCCCCGCTAGGAGTCAGGGTGAAGCAAAGCTTCCATTTTGTTCTTTAAAAATCTCCCTACAAACAGTAAGAACATGAATATAAATGCACGCAGATATTAGCATTCGATCTTGCTGGGAATATAGACACTAACACAAAAGCATCTTTGTCTCCCAAATCAGCATGTCTTTGAAGCTATACTGTGATTTATGCACGGCGAGGAGGTAGAGGCTAAAAAGACGTTTGCAATAACTTTTTTTATTTGGGGATCGTACAAGTCAGTGGATACAGAAGGCACTGTCAGACACCTGCACTGGCAAGTGTTCTCACGTGATGTATGCAGGCAGCTTTGGGATTATTAAAAGTGGCTTTATACCTAAAATAATTGTTTACAATGCTCTGAAGAGAGTATGTGGCTTGGTCATCAGCAAGCAACTAGAATGCTCATTACATACAATGACACCGGGATACCTAATCCCTAGTCTGTTTTCTGCTTCCATGACTATCACATAGCTTTAAATCAGCACATGTCCCTTTGGGTAGGTCTTGACAGCTAGAATGCATATTGTTTTTGTTATGGTTATCTCGTTCTTTTTTTCTCTTTCAGAGGCTTAGCTGAGGTTTGGTTTTGGTTTTGGAGGTGCTGGGAACTGAACCTAAGACCTCTCACATGCCAGGCAAGCACACTCCAGCTGAGCCACATTTCAAACCTGAGTCGTTGCATAATGCCACTGCATCTCCTTTATCATTTTATTTCCATATAAGCCACTGTATGTCTGTGATACCTTCCGAGTCTGCATCATAGAGACGCAGAAATCCATCTGCTCACAGCCTACCTCCAACTGACAGGTTAGCCCATAGATACAAAAGGGCGTTATAATGGCGTTCATCCGGGTCTCCTCAATCACTTATACCTCAAAAGTTGGACCTTTTTAACTCCCAGGGTCCTAGAGCTACCCAGAAAAAGCCTGATTATTTCAGATCTTTCATTGAAGACTTATTGAGTAGAAGAAGGCCTTTGTTGATCCAAGGCTATTGTTATAAAAGGGAGACAAGATGGATTCTTCTGTGTCATTCTGCCCTATGCCCAGTGGGTTTTCGAGTCTGGCTGTTGATAGCAGGCACTGTCCACGGGCCTTAATAAGTGTCCATCTCATTTCCATTTCCTCGTTCTCATGTAGTAGTTAGCTCTCTGATGAACTCAAAAGAGGGTCTCTGAAGATAGATATTCTCTCCCCTCCCCCTTTCTCTCTCTCTGTTTCTCTCTCCCCCTCCCTTCCCCTCTCTCTTGCAATTTCTAGACATTTTCTTTGATTCTTCAGTTTGGAGAGTCTCTCAGACTGCACCATGGATGGAAATTTCTCTTGAAGCAGGAAGTGGATGTACCAATCTGCCCATGGCACCTCCCTGGTCTTCCATCTTGGGGGAATCACTCTCCTCCCTGGGCTCCTGTCTGGAGGAACTTTACTGTCCTCTGTTGTTTGACATCAAAAAGCAAAGAAAGATCTCAACTTTTACATTTTATTCTTGACATTTTTTAAAATTTAAACCTAAAAAAGCTAAAGATTCTTGACAAACAAGGGCAACTGGAGTTGGGGGGTAGTGGACAACACAGCTCAGGGATATGGGTTCTCGTTTGGATTTTTTTTCTTTTAATAACAACATGTTTTACATCTATGTATTCCTGTACAGGCAGGCGCTCATGTGCCACAGCACACATGTGGAGACCACAGGACAGACAACTCACGGGACAACTCTTCTTCCACGGTGGGTGAGCATTCTGGGGGTTAAACTAAGATTGTCCCACTGAGCAGCAGGCACCTTTATCAGCTAAGCTGTCTTGCTGTCCCATGGGTTTTCTTTTTCTGCTGACACAGCTCTGCGCCTCATGGTCCTGACCTACTCTTACACAGGTCCTAGCCCTGGCCCTTCTTGTGGTAAGGACACCCAAGATCTCTGACTCCCATCTAAATCCCTTAGTTTGCAAGATGAGAATCTTGTTTGGCCTAGACTGGCTTTGGGGGTCAGGAACATAGTCAATTCTTGGATAGGAGATGTAACCATTGCAAATGTCAGCATGTCATCTATAAATGTCATTGAGCATCTGTTACCAGCCAGCTAACATATGCTAAGATCACAACCATAAGAAAGCAAGCATCTCCATGATCATGGAGTTTCTATTTCAGTGTTTAAAACAGCTACTTTTTGCACACAGGACAGTGTGGTTCACTTCTCCTTCTTGTATAAAAAAAAAATCTAAGAAGGAGCTTAGTAAAAAAAAAAAAAAAAAAAAAGAAAGAGAAGGAAGACCTAAGCCAAGATAAAATAAATGTTAATTCACAAAAGCTTTTTACACTGTGTTCAGAAACTATCTCAGTCCCTACAGAGAGCCTTTTGTACCCACT